AGTAGTGAGCACTCCTCTTACAACTCATTTTAGATTGAGTGTTAAATAGAGTCCTTTAAATGAAACTGAGAAGACAAATATGAGAAGAGATCCTTATGCATCTGCGGTAGGCAGTTTGATGTATGCAATGGTATGTACAAGACCAGATATTGCATATGATGTTGGTGCAATTAGTCAATTTTTGTCGAACCCAAGTAGAGAGCATTGGAATGTTGTGAAATGGATTTTGAGGTATCTCTGCCGTACTAGTGATTTGAGACTTTGTTTTAGAGGTGATATGCCTACTTTGGTGGGTTACTCAGACTTAGATATGGCTGGAGATATTGATTCCAGAAAGTCTACTTTGGGTTATTTGATTAAGTTTGTAGGGAGAGTTGTGGCTTGGCAATCAAGGCTGTAGAGGCGTGTAGCCTTGTCTACTACAGAGGCAGAGTTCATTGCTATTACTGAAACATGTAAAGAGTTGCTATGGTTGAAGAAACTTTTGTAAGAGCTTGATTTTGTGCAAGAAAACTATCCATTACTTGTGGACAGTTAGAGTACTATCCATCTTGGTAAGAATTTAACTTTTCATTCTAGATCCAAACATATTGATGTGAGGTATCACTGGATACGTGAGTCTTGGATGCTAAGTTGTTAGAATTGGATAAAATTCATATGATGATAATGGTGTTGTTATAATGACTAAAGCACTACCAATGTGGAAGCTTGAAGCTTGTTGTGAGATCGTCGGATTGGCGATCACCTCCACATAGTTGTGAGGTGAGAGATGTGTTGGGTTGGGCTTCCAACTATGTATCCAAAAAAAAAAAAGTCCAAACTTGTCAAGCCAATTTTATCTCACTTAACCCAAGTGGAGAGGGATCTTCTAGGACAAGAGTGGGTGTTAATTTTGCAGCCTTTTAGGAGAGAAAGAAGAGATAAAGATGGCAAAAAATTGGTCTACATATTCACATATCAGCCTCAGTAAAATCACGATTCTCGCTTCATTCACTGTTGGATCGGGCTGAAAATTTGATAGCTAGTTCATAACATAGTGTTCTTTGTTCTTATCATTGAGATCATGGATTGGAATCTCCAACAATTTCTCACAGTTGCTCTGTTTTTATGATTCTTCTTCTTAGTTCTTCAAATTAGAAGCTTTATTGTTTTGATGTATTGGCTGATTGTAAGCACTTGTTTATGCATTTTATTAGACTCTCTTGTACCCCTTATTTGATTATAGTGGAACTTGATTTACTGGCTTGTGTCTGTGGGTTTTTACTTTTCACGCTGAGAGAATTTTCTCACATTAAAAATATTTGTGTCTCTGTGATTTCTATTATCCTTTTTTTGTTGTTGTTATTCCTCGTTGATTCTTGCAAATTGGAAAAATTATTTTTGCTGCTTACTTTGGTACTTTTGGTTATTATGTTGTTGTTTTCCCATGAAAATATACATACTTTTATTTAATACTTGCTTTATAAAATAAAAAATATATATTGAAAGCGTGTGTAAGAGAATATTTAAAAAAAATTATGAAAATAAAAATATTTTATAAACATCTTGATAGGTGTTTATACCTAGAGATAAAGTAATACAAATAATAAATACAATGAATAATTGGTAAATAATAAGACAAATAAATTAGAAAGCTTCAAGAATCAATCCAAGTAAATGGTGCTAAATATCAATGATAGTTTCACACCGGTACGAAGAAGAGAAGAGTACAGTAGATATAGAAAAGAAAAAGAAAAGACAAACAAAAAATAAAAATATTATAAATGATATAAAAAGAAATTAAAAAAAGGGAATGTAAATAGAATGTAAAAAAAAATGAACGTGAGAATATTACTGTTAGATGCTAAATACTAATAATAAGTGTGTATCAGGGATACATCAAAATTCAAGAACTTATACAGATATAAAATTAAAACGATTGATGTTAAATCCTTCTATTTATCATTTTTACAATTTTTTATTATCAAATTAAAGATATTTTATATGTTAAAATAATAAATATTTTTTATTTAACACTTATTTTATAAATAATATAAAAATATTAAAAAGATATAATAAAGCTAAATAAATAAATAAAAACTACAACTATATATGATGTTGCTTTGCTTCCAGATGTATCCAAAAGAAAAGCTATAACTATGCACCCACATCATTAGCAAGCTTAGCGGACAAAGGTGGCTCCGCAACTGTGTTTCTTTTATTGGAATTGGTGCGGTGTGTGACTGAGGAACAAGATTCTCTCTTTAGTCAATTTATAGTATATTTTTGTTTGTAAAATTTAGCTCGTTTAAATTAATAAGTAAATTTTTTTTTAAGCTACCAAGTCAATGCAATTAAAATTAAATAAATTTAAGACAAAAAAAATGTATTTAAGACTTGTTATTTGTTTAAGTGAATTGTTGTTAGCTTCTGTGTCTCTAAACAAAAATAATTAAAATTACATAAATTTAAGATAAAAAGTAATATATTTGAAGCTTATTATTTGTTTAAGTAACCTCATGTTTGTTTAAGCAAAATAAGTTTTGATTAGACCTAGTCAAGCAAATTTAATTAATATTCAGCGAATTTGAAAAAAAAAGAAGTAGGGATTGAAAATCAAGTAATTCACTTAAAGTGAGCATATATATGCTTAAATGGATCTTTATTTTGTTTAAAGCCAAATGAGCTAAAATGAGGTAAAAACAAACATGTAAGGCTGGGCTAAATATATTTGATGATATTGTGTTTCAACCTGTATTTTATATAGAAAATTACTTAATTAATACAAATTTAACAAAGAAATAAAATAAATTTTAATGGTTTAGGGATCAATTTTGATTAGGGATTGAATCACTAGTATCATCAAGTTCTTCATGCAAAATAAGAAGAGAAATTATGAACAACCATGGATTAGAAAAAAGAGAGAGAATTCGATTGACATAAAGTTCAATTGAACAATCGTAATTCGTGGACAAGTGCATCTATCGAAAAGTAATAAAGAAATTCTAAAATAAGTTCTTGAAATATTGTTTCACAACAATTGTTTTCAAGTACCAAAAATATTTTAATTCAATTGTTTAAACTTACTTGATGCAAAACTAAATAAAACAAAGATTCAAAATATAAGAAGAATTAAAACAGCATAACATATGACAATAAACTAATCGAGATGAATTTCAAAGCTTATAGTTTCACATTTATAATTCTTTATATTTACTTTTAGATTGATTCTAATTCTAATTTTTTTTTTATGATTGTCAACTACTTGTACTAAATTTATTACCAATCAATAGTCATGTAATGTTAATAGTCTTTTCCTTAAGTTATTACCTCCAACAGTCATGCAAGATAAAAGGAAGAAAAAATATAAAAAACTTATGAACTGTTAATTTAATAATAATTAAAAAAAAGAACTAAGTTTGGTTCACTTAATTCTTTTTCTTATTTTACTTTATAAATCTTTTAATTATAGTAATACGTTTGTCTACAATATAATTAATTATGACATAGTTAAGAGTTATCGGTTCTAAAAATATAAATATATTACAAAAAGATAAGATTATGTGAGATGAGTAAGTAAAAAAAATGTATTACTTTTTTTTATTTTAATGCCTAACTAATTTTTTTTTTATAATTTTATACCTAACGTTAACTTCCGTCAGTTAAATGGTGACATGGCTAATAGTTTTTCATGTCACCGTCAATTTCTCTCATCTGTCTCACCATTAAACTAACACGTCAGGATTCCACATCAGCATTTTTAAATTTTAACCTAAACGTTGTGTTTTGGGTGACGTGAGGGAAAGAGGGGCAAATCTAAAACCCTAATTGAAGAAGAAGCACAAAATGAAGATACTGAAGACGAACTCGAAAATAAGAAGAAGCAGAAAAGGAAAAAGAAGGTTAGGGTTGTCTATCGTGTGTTATTGTTATCCATCTCGGGTTTTGTTTCGATTCTTCGTCTTGACGAAATAAGTAGTGTGAATAGTTCATCGTGTTCATCTTCTTCACGAGCTGTAACTTGCAAATGTAAGAAACACGTTATAATTTTGACCTCACAGAGCAAGGATAATCCTGGTAGAAGGTTTTAGAGATGCTCTGGTTGGAATATAAGTTCAATTGATTGTATTTGTTCTGGATTTGTGATTGTGTTTACAAATTTGTTTGTATTTGATTTGCAAGAACCTAATTCTTACAATTATTTTTGTTGGGTTAAAGATCCTATAGATAGGGATCATGAGTTTGTTATATCGAAAAAAATCCATAAAATTCAGGAGTTGAAGGCAAAGATCAGTGATTTAATGGAGGTTAAAAAAGCAACTGAGGAGAAAATAGAAAAAATCAAAGAAGAGACGGTGAGACTTCAGCAAGAATGTCATGATCTTCATCAACAACTTGCATTAATGAAGCTTAAAATAAAAAATAAAAAATAAAAGATTGTTGTTGAGAGGAATAGGGTGAAGATTTTAGGATGTTTAGTGATTATGCTTTGGATTTTCATTACCATTGTGAGCATTGTAGTAGTAATGAATGTTGTTGGTAGAAAAGTTTTAAATGTTGACAATTTGTAATTCAATGGAGTGAAAGTTGTTTTGAATATGGTTGAATGAATTCAATGACATAAGATTGGTGTATAAAAATTGAGTATTGGGCAAATGCACCTATTGTCAGAGTAATATCACAAAAAAAAAAGCAGAGTACCAAGTGTCGTATCCACAGGGACTATTACTAAGATTTACTTCCTTGATTACCCAACTGTTATAATGACTATAAGCAAAGATATTATGTTAATAAATTTTGCTGAACTAAAGAATAACAATTAAATAGAAACAGATTTCTATGATAATAAAATCTAGAAAAATATGACTAAGTGTATTCAAGAGAAATAGGTGAGTATCTAGATTGTAAATCCTTCTAAGTGTCCAAATAACTGGAATTCTCCATCAACTACTTAGTTCTAATCGCTTGTTGCTGCAGGAACTCCTAAAATAAATCAATATCTTTCTCAAAGATAATAATTCTTAACCTTTAGTTGAATAATCAGAATCTCTTTCTAGCACACTTTTTTTCTTCTCACCTCCAGGTTTCTCAACAGCAGCAGTAGTCCCAACATCATCATCATCATCATCATCATCCCCACTCCCAACAACTTCATCCTCACCCCCAACAGCACCATTATCACCCCCAACATCAACATCCCCACCCTCAACAGCAGTAGTCCTAACATCATCGTCATCATCATCATCATCCCTACTCCCAACAACTTCATCCCCACCCCCAATAGCACCATCATCACCCCCAACATCAACATCCTCACCCTCAATAGCAGCATCCCCACCCCCAACACCACCACCAATAGCCACCATTCTTTTAGATTGACCATCACTCTGAAGCGCACTTGGTAAGTCTCTGTCAGGGGTCGACTTTTCAATATAATCTTCATCCCCAAAAATTTAGACAACCTCTATACAAACATTAACTTTGTAAGGTTGATGAAGAGCAACATCTACCTCTTCAACCTTAACATTTTCATTTACTTTCTTTGCAAATGACTTCTTCCTTCTGCCTTTTACTCGCCCAAATTCTGGAATGTCTTTGCCAAATCCATCATCCATGTCACCAACCCTATCCTCCTCACTTTCATATAAATGAATTTTGTTTAAAGATTCCTCCTCACTACTGAAAAAATTTTCCCCAACAATACCCTAGTTGTCTCCTTCACAAACATCATATATTTCAACCTCAAAACTGTTACACATGGAAAAATTAGTCATGTCCAAGGCTACACTATCACAATTAATTTTCTTAAAGTCAGAAGGACCAAATGTTCACCATATCCTCACAAGGTGTTTTTAGTAACCTAAGTCTTCTTTTAAAATTCCAAGTGCTTCAAAGTACGACCACCTGTCCATATCAATATTCTTCATGTAACGCTCTGGATTTTATAATAATATTTTGAATTATTTATATGAATGTGTGAATTGATGTTTGAATGTGCATTTGATTGTGTGATGATTTGGATGTGAATATAATTGTGAAGATATGTGTCTAGTGTAGTTGAAATGTGATGTGGATTTGTGATTGGAGGCTGGAATTATTTGAAATGTAGGCTAAGTGTATACAACAGAGACATTCTCACTATAGCGAGAAGGTCCTAGGCATAAGGCGTGTTTCTGTTGCATTATCGTTGTAGCGAGAATATCGCGACCAGAAGGGTGTTTGAGGGGTTTAGGATTTGAAAAATTAATTTTCTATTCCTCTCTTTGATATCTCTTCGATTATCTCAACCCTCAACCGTTGTCCAAAATTAAATTATCTTCAAAGCCGTTTGTGAGCAAGATTGAAGGTTGAGATTATGTTTGTAGCGTTTGGAGGTAAGTTTTATGTGCTAGGGTATTGTTTCTTCATCCTTTTCTTCATTTTCTTGAGTTCTCATGGAGATTTCTCATGTTTTAGGGACGAAGTACCTTGTGGTAAACATTTTCTGCTATTGTTTCGTGTTGGGTCTTCATTTTGAAGTAAATGAGACTCTACCCTATCTCTTTTGGTTTGAAATCCGTTATTAGAGCTAGATAATGAAATGTGGTTGAGATAGAATGTAGAAAAGTGTGTACCTTAGTGGAAATTTTGTGTGAAATATGATAGGGTAGTTATTTGGGCGATGTGTGTGATGAAATAAATTTGATTGGCATGAGATTGTGATGGAATTATGGTGTGTTTAAGTGTAATGTGACCGATTATGTGTGTACATGCGATGTGCGAAGATAAAAACTATGATGTGATTTAAAATGTGGGTAGTATATAGTTGCATGCCACTAATGAATGATGAATAATATGAAATGGGTGAATACGTGTGAATGGCATGCTGGTTGTGTTTGAATATGATGGAAAACTATGAATGATTCAGCAATACATTTGGGGTGTGAAAGATGGGGCAGTAAAAATACCTTAGGGAAGAGAGGGTGATTGTGACACCAACAGTGAGTGTGGGTGCACCACAGGCCACTGATGAATGATGAATAATATGAAATGGGTGAATATGTGTGAATGACATGCTGGTTGTGTTTGAATATGATGGAAAACTATGAATGGTTCAGCAATACACTTGGAGTGTGGAAGATAGGATAGTAAAAATACCTTGGAGAAAAGAGGGTGGTGGTGATACCTAAGTGTAGGTGCACTACAGGCCACACACTTTCCTCCTGACTCGGCCTCTGACTAACACCTTTGCTTGGGGGCTCAGTACCACACACGTTGTATCCATGGAGCAGGAGCTATCCAGCAACCATCCATGGTGTGAACTGAATAAGTCCCTGATGTTGAGGGCATCAGGAATCTGTGATCACAGTGCCACTGTGAGTGTGGCTACATGTAGTGATCACACGTGTGTGTGGATTGTTTGATAGTGTAATTAGTGCACTTGTGTGTGAATTGGTATTGAATGTTAAAAAGTAGTAAATGTGTTGTTTGATGCATGATTTGAATTTTGTAATAAATATGTGAATGTGCAAATGTGAGCCTTTGTGCTCACGTGTGATAGTGTAAAGTACTCACCCTTACATTTATTTTTCAAGTGACCAAGACGATCAGCACTGGGTTCAATGAAGGGATTAATGAAACTGCTATAGGACTTAAAGAGTTATTTTGAAAACTCTGATGTATTTGAATTAGTCCTTTAGCAATAATTTGATATAAACTTGTAATTCATCCTTATTTTAAATTACTTTATTGAACTATGTATTGGGAACCTTTTGAATGAAAATTTTATTATTTTCAATTTTATGAAATTTATTTATTTGAAAATTAAATTAAGGTGTTACATTTACAGGAATGGCCTCTTTTTCCCCAACATAGTGCATCATGGGGTCCAGTTCAAAATGACCCCCGTGATGAATTATAGCATTGAAAGCTATTTACATACAAAAAGGAACAAATATTCATGTCAAGTAAAGCAAAAATTTACGAAAGAAAACCCTAACCCGTAATAATCTAATCAAATAACACTTACCTTCAATAATGTCGATAATGTCCACAACGTCGCTTTTGTTAACAAGTGCGGTACTTGGGAAGCAAGGAAAAAACAACAACGCTGATGTTTGTTTCGAAAAAGAAAAACAACAAAAGTGAAGATAAAGATGAGAAACAAACTATAATATCATATAAAGGGTTCAACAATTTTTTGCTTTCTATTTGGAAATATTTCACTTGAAGATCAAGATTGAGTAACTGCCTAATGGTAGTTTAAGCTTTCCTTCTTTAAGATTTTTCCAAGTGTTAACACTGTATGCTTAAATTTTTATTTTTTAGTTTTTTCTTTTTTTAAATTTAAAAATACTGATGTAGAATCCTGACTTGGTTGTTTAATAGTGAAGTGGATGAAAGAGATCAACGGTAACATGACAAACTGTTAGTCACGTCATAATTTAACTGACGGAGATTAATGTCAGGTATAAAATTAAAACAAAATAGTTAAGCATTAAAATAAAAAAATTCTGAAGTAATTTTTTGAAATAAGCCCTATTTAAAGGTATTTAAACTTTATATTTAATATAATAATTATATTCTTAATAAAAAAATATTCTTTTTATATATTTAAACTTAAGTTTAAAATTAATTTGATAAAATTGATATTTCAAACAAAAAATTGTAGAGCGTAATCTAAAATAATTGCTTTGTTAACGTATGAATGATGTGATCGTGATTTTGCGTCGTAGTGGGATGGTTAGTAAAAAAGAATTTGACATGAAAGACAAATCTCAACATCTACAAAATAATTGACCAGTCACACATATTAGGACGTCCCATTGTTATTGATTTAATAAATTATTTGTTTATACAGATGTTGCATTATTAGAGTTATGCAAATTCCTTTCTTTGTATACTTAGTCAAAAATTAATAAATGATAGTAATTTTTAAAAAAGTAATAAAATAAGTATATTATTAACAAAAAAAAAAAAGTATACTTTTAATTTTTTAGTTACTATTCTAAGAATATTGATTTTCATTTTCTGTAAATACATTTAGTTTCTTGATGCTATTTTTGTATTGATATTTTTTTTATAGGCAAAACATATATTATTAGAAAGAGTTCAAGGGAAACTCATATACTCAGAAGAAAATTACTAACTCAGAGAAATAAAAAGTAAAAATATACTTATACAAAGTTAAGACGGATGCAATTGAAAAAATGGAATATTGAGGTATTTAGAAATATTAATAAGGTGATCTCTGATTTGACAACTGAGTTGAGCTTGATTGATGATAAAAATTCTGTGATGGAACTTTTCGATGTGGAGAAGAAGCATCAACAAATGAAATATTGAGGTATTTGGAAATATTAAGGAATGTTAAGATTGCATTGAAAAAATGGAATATTGAGGTATTTGGAAATGTTGATAAGGTGATATCTGATTTGACAACTGAATTGAGCTTGATTGATGATAAAAATTCTGTGATAGAACTTTCCGATGTGGAGAAGAAGCATCAACAAATGTTGGTGGGTGATATTTGGAAGGCTGAGAAGAATAGAGAGAGTCTCATAGTCCAAAAAGCTCGGGTGAGATGGGGGAAAGAGGGTGATTTAAATACAAAGTTCTTTCATTTATGTGTTAATGGGAGACGGCGACGAAATAATATACATGCGCTCCAAATTGGGGAGAGATGTGTCAAAGAGGTTAATGATATTAAAACAGGTGTGGTGTCCTATTTTGCGGCTCATTTTAGTAGTAGAAGTTGGCTTCGACCTACTATTGATATTAATAATTTACCAAGAGTCTCTGTTCTACAGAATGAGGAGCTTGTTAATGCTTTTTCAGAGGAGGAAGTGGGAAGGATGATTTTAGAGTGTGAGGGTGATAAAAGTCCAGGGCCTGATGGTTTCAATTTTGTGTTCCTTAAGAGGTTTTGGGGAGTGATCAAGGAAGAAGTGATGGGTATGCTTACTGAATTTTGTAGAAATGGGAAGCTACCTAGGTCTTTGTTATCTTATTTTGTAGCACTTGTGCCAAAAGTGTCTTGTCCATAACAGATATCTGATTTTTGGCCTATCTCATTATTAGGTTGTCTTTATAAGATTGTTTCCAAGCTTTTGGCAAATAGGTTGAAAGGAGTTTTGGATTCAATAATTTTATAAGAACAATCAGCCTTTATCCCGGGAAGGAACATGTTAGATAGTGTGCTTGTGGCTAATGAAACAGTTGATTATGTGCGGAGGTATAATAAGAGGTGTTTTGTATTAAAGCTTGATTATGAGAAGGCGTATGATTCGGTAGAGTGGGGATATCTTTTGTTTATGTTACGTAGCTTTGAATTTTTAGACAAATGGGTCAGTTGGATGGAAGCTTGTGTGTGGGGGGGAAGCCTATCAGCTTTGATTAATGGTTATCCTACATTGGAGGTTCATATTGAGTGGGGCCTAAAACAGGAGGATCCTCTTGCCCCTTTTCTTTTTCTTGTGGCAGCGAAAGGGTTAGGAGTTCTTATGCGGAAGGCAGTGACTTGTGGGTTGTTCTCTGGTGTGAAGATTGGGATAGGGGGCCAGATATTTCTTTGCTGCAATTTGTGGATGACACATTGATTATGGGAGAGGCTTCGGTGCAGAATTTGTGGACTTTG